TGGACCTGATTTCTGAGATGTATTCAGTACAATTTCACTGTAAGCATTGTGACATCCTTTTTTGAACAAAATCAGTTTAAAATTTTGTCTTTTGAGTTGTAGTTTTAGATCTTTGTTTATTTCGTACTCACCATAAACTCGAATTTTCTTCTTTTTTAACCAAACATGAAAATAAAAGAAAATGAATTCAACCACATCAGATTTTGTATAAAATAGCGTCAAGATATATAGAAGAAAAAAATAAAAACTGGTATTAATATGGAATTTAAAACACCACAAAGCCTTTCAATTCCCTAATCCCCGTTTCAAATTTATCGGAGAAAAAGTAAGCGAATTATGAAGAAAGGCAGGAACAAATTTGATTGGATACGACTTCAGATGATGATTATGATGATGACAGTTTGGAAAGGCAGTTAGTATTGCACTTTTGATTAGCGGAACACTTCTTTGATTGGCAGCTAGCGCTGATATTTGTTTCAATCAGGCTTTTTAGCTGATATTTTGATGTCGATGAGAAAATAAATTTTACAAACCATTTATGCGAATGTGATATGGACATATATAGTAAAACTGAGCACTTTCTGGTACCACAAAAAACTAACAAAATGATACACTGATTGATGATATAAGTTTACTGAAAAGTTTTGAATATTGTTTTTTTCGCTAAGTATCAAAATCAATACATCATATTAGTTGCGGCAATATGGTTCGAGTCGAATCCAAAATATTCGGTTCCGGAAGCACTGCCACAAGCCGAGTATCCATTTGTCATCGGGTACGGGTGACAAGCTCCTCCGCCGACGAGAGGCGACATATCAGTGGGTGTTGTCGTGTTGTTTGCGGCGGCCATTTGGTGCGCTGACAACGCTACCGCCGCATGTTGCTGCGCGACTACCGCGGCCATGTTTTCCGCTACTTGTTGTTGCTGCGCCGCCATTTGTTGCTGAAGTTTCTCGCGAACTGAAGTCCAACCGTGTTTTAAGCTTCGTACTTCAATATCTGATTCGTCTTTTCCCGCCAAAATATCAGTCATAAACGAGATATAAATTATTGCGAGTCGGAGTGTGTCGATTCGGGAAATTTTCTTCTCGTGTGGGAACGTCGGCACGATGTGACGAAGCTCCTCGAAAGCGTCATTCAGCGACAACATTCGCTTTCGTTCTCGAATATTCGCTGCTCGTCGTTGCGATTGAGTAGCCTGCCGTCGGCGCTTCTTGTTGTTGTCGTATTGGAAGCCAAGAAATGAGTCGTGGTCGTCGTGTAACAGTCCTCCTGATTGGTGGTGCATAGAGGGAAGGGAGTAGAGCGACGGTTGGCCCCCCATAAGAGCAGGGGGGTTGTTCTGATAGTCCACAACTGATGAGGGAAGGTATGACCCTTGGGATGACGTCATCAGTTGTGTGGAATGTTGAGCGGAGCTTGAGAAAACTGGCCCATATTCTAAAACAGTAAAATAATAATCGATTTCAAATCAATTTTTAACTATCAAAATTCTATAAAAACAAAATAATACGGCATAAATTTTATTTTAAACCATAGAAATATTTCATTAGTGCGCAGATTTAATCAGAATTTGCAACATTTCACCTTCCTCGCTTAAAAATCTAAAATTTATAGAGTTAAGAATTAAATGAAAAAATCAGTAAACTTACGTGTTTGAGTTTCAAATCCATCCATCATAGAATTCATTAAATCAGAAGTCCCCCCTTCCACAGATCCAAATTCAGCCCCATCAGCAGGATGTCCCCCCATACCCGCCATCAGAGCAGAAAACTCGTTGTGACTACTTGAATGATACGCTCCCACTAATGAATTCCCGCTGTAGAGGTCACTTCCATGTTTAAGCATTGACGCATCATCTATAGGCATAAGAATGGATGGAAGTTGACCCCCCGAATCGGCTTGTATTTGACCCCCGACCGAGTTCAGGTCGAATTTGAGTTCGGTCTGAAGTTTTTCCGACTGGTGATGAAGTTGTTGTATTTTGATAATATCTGAGAATTGGACGTTGCATTGCGAAGTTATCGGCACAGATCGTTCGAAAACCATTTTTGGCCCCAATTATATATCCGATTTTGGTTTCAGCACTTTTCGAAGAAATTGAATTTTCGGCGAATTAAAGTGTGTGCAGGTTTTGCTTTTTAATTATTGCAACAATTTTCAAAATAAGCAAGGAAATTTTTTTTAAATTGTTTTTGTTTTACTATTTCTAATGATGTCAACTTTTTGTGTCAACTTTACTAATGATGTCAACTTTACGGAGAAAAAACTGGTTGAAATTCCGGATGTTGCTTTTGAAATTGTATTTACTGAAATAAATAAAAGTTGTTCCAAAAAACTTAACTTGATCATTTTGAGATTGAATAAAATCCTGCAATATGATTGGCTAATTGAGCTAGCTGACAGATATCTCTTTTATGTTGTGGCGGCTCAGTTTTGCATACTTGACTTCGCCGCGGGAATAAATTACGCCGGATTTTCTCCGGAGATAAATGAATTCCCGTCAAAGATGATTTAAGTGCTGTTTTGGCTGCCGAATCCGTCTTTTGTCAACATATTAATTATATTTTTAAACGATCAATTAACAAAGATCTATCAACGTAATTAGTAAATGTTTAAAATCAAGGTGATTGTGTTTATAATTTGCGATCGAAGCCGCTTAAGTTTTATCCACCTTAAGACAGGGAAAAGGCAACGCCAATTTGGCTTCTAAGAGCAAATACCAGGGAGCGAGCTGGGAAAAACAGTAAAATTAGGAAACCTCAAATAATTTGACACGAATAATCTGTTCACACCTTGTTTTTAGCGTGTATCACAATTGATCTCTTGTAAATTATCCATTGCAGGGTGAAGGTTAGCTGCCATAGGGGGATCCATCCATATTTACATAGAAAACTAAATTTCCTAAATTTATATAATTTAATTTTTCGGATCTCTGCAACTATCGCCCCCCCCCCTTATGGTACCTAGTAACGAATCCCCCCTATCGAGAAATAATGCAACGGCTAAGCATATGAGAATTTGGATTTCTTAAACTATTTCCCTCTTTTTCCAAAAATGGGGAAAATCGTTACAGCACAAATTTAAAAATGATATCCCCCCCCCACCAACTGGGATAAATTGACGAAGACTGTGGATTTAAATATTCGAGAATTATCAGCAGACAAGTCAAGTCAAGTGGACGCGGACAATCCCCCGGAACAAAAAGCGATACCTAGAAACCAGCACCCAATTATTATCCTTCGCTTCCTTCTGTTTATTCTTTTCCACACGCTTTTCTACAACAGAAAAGATCAACTTTATAGTACTGGGCTTGATAAAGAGTTTAAAAAAGGGGGTTTGTTTTGGGTTTTACCGACTTAACCAGTCACCTCCTTGGCAGATTTGTGGAAAAAGTAATTTTACGTAGATTTTTCAACTTGCATGCTTTTCCGATTATCCAAGAAACAACATGCAAAATTTTATTGCTATTTTGCAATAAACTCGGCAATTATTGCAATAGCCTTTGAAAAAAGTTTGTGATCTTAGCATTTCATAGAAATTTTAAATTTGAGGGCTAATAGTCGGGAGGATCTAGGATTTTCTCGAGGCTCTCTCAAAGCTTTAGAAAGACCCTGTTGTGGTTTAGAAAAAAAACTTTTAAAAAACGTTTTTAGGCTCTTTTTGAAAAAATTTGACACACAAAATTGAGTTTTTTGGGTGCGCGCTCCCCCCTCAAAATTAGCATATTGGTGTCAACCAGCCAAAAATGGAGGTCTTTAAATAGTACCAAATGTGGGACCGCCTCTGATAATAGGAGTTAATTAAAATTACATTGAAATTGTTGCACACTCGTTCGGTTGAATTTCTGAAGCAATGATAGCATCAAAGCAGTTGTAGGTTTTCTAGCAGCTGCTGAGGAAAAATGTTGGCTGTAAAATTCACAGAACACAAGATTTCACCTCCAGATCATAAATTTGTTTCTGCGTTTTTAAGGCTAAAGTTTCTGCTTAGAAGAGAAATGATTTCAATGTTATCACTTTTGCAATTATTACCCTGCTAAAAATTACACTAAAAATGCACATTTCATTATTTGATATGGGCCAGAATTCCTGGAACAATTTATCAGGAGCAAAATCTATGAGTTATTGTAATGCATGAAACAATAGATTTTATCTTGTATATTGTTCCAGAAAAAAAACTGTCTGAATACTTATTCAACGTGATTGTAAATAAAAAATCCGCGTAGTTTAATTGTAGTTTTATTATTTGGCACGAAATTTCCCGCTTCGACATAAAAATTTAACAATCAATTTTATACAAATAACAAGACTGCTGGTATCAGGGCCAAGTTTTGAATGCTCCCACTGCTTTTAAGGTGTATACAAAATTGTTTGCTATTAAAAACAATTAAATTGTTGAAATTTTCATTAAAAAAACTGAAATTGACGAAGTGATACTTTTTTTATACAGCAAAAGTTTACATAGTCCAAATAGCAGGCAGGGCGACACTTCTTAATACGCGACAATTCGTAATAGGCGACAATTTGTTATATAGATAAAGTCGCAACACGCGACAATTCGTAACAAAGCGACAATTCGGAGTTCGTAATAAAAAATTTTTAGCGGCAAACACTAATTTTTGCGCACTATTCCTCTCATGCAGAAGGTAGGAGCAGCGGAGCCAGCGTATTCTACTTGCCAATGCCTTGTTATGCATTGTCGCTTGTTACGTATTTCTCTATGTTACGAATTGTCGCCTGTTAGGAATTGTCGCGTGTTATAAATTGTCGCCCTGCCTGATATTTGGACTATTTTGCTTCATGAAAAACATATCATTTTGTCAATTTCAAATTTTTTTAAAATGAAAATTTCAACAATTTAATTGTCTTAAATAGCAAAGAATTTTGCATACACTATTATTAAATTCCATTTAAAAGTGCTGGTCAGAAAACCAAATATGTCTGGAGGAAATACCAACCGAGCACAATTATTCTTTCATTGAACATCGGAGCAATAATGAACTTTAAAAACATCGATTCAATTCAGATTTTCTTGAGGGGGGCGGATTTTCACAAAAAAAAACTTTTGAAAATTTTGTCGACTTTTTTATAGGTCGACCGAATCAATTTTCCGAGCTCTCCCAAATCACTAAAAAGATCCTGTTTTGGTAAAATTTTCTGCTCCGCAGGCAAAATTTTGAAAAACAGGCCAAAAAGGTGTTTTTAGGCTTTTTTTTTGAAAATTTTGACCAAAAAAATGAGTTTTTTGACGCGCGCTCCCCCCTAACAATAAGTATCTATTGGCGCCAAACGCACCTTAAAAACATTTTTAGGGTCTGTCACCAAATATGGATATCTCAAAATAATACAAAGAGGGTAACGTCGTTTATTTTTTTTTCAAACATTTAATGTGTCGAAAAGTTTCACCGAGCAACCAAGGTTACAGTTGCCTTTCAAAGGCTTTAAAACGTTTAAAGGCGCCTTTTTCGCCAATTTATACTAATTTTGAAGGGTGGAGCGCGCGTCGAAAAACGTAATTTTTTTGGTGAAAATTTTCCTTAAAATCTCAGAATGTACCTGTTTTTCAAAGTTTGCTGCAGCAAAACTTTTTCTGTAAATAGGGTTTTTATAGCGTACTGGGAGCGCTTGAAAAATCGAAGATCGACAATTTAATTTTTATTTTAATTTTTTTATTCTAATTTTTTTTGAAAATCTGCCTTGCTTCGAGAAAATCCTAAATCCAACCCTGGCCATGTATTCATTTAGCTAAAATGAATTAATTTCTGAAAGTTATGACAGCGAACACGGTGACATATTTGAAAGTCAAAAAGTCTTCTGAACACTTGTCGCACTTGGAAGAGTGGAATTCTAATGTAGTACTTGGTAATACAAATCGACACACGTGATGATAGACTGACTGGTCTCTCCGTCCTTTGGGTTGAATAAGCTTCTGTTTACCTTGAGAATCCAGATTATGATTCATTTTCCTAAATATAAAAAATATCAATTTTGGGCCGTATAACAGAAAAGACTCTTATTATTATTAGATTATTTGGAAGTTTTTCGATTAAGCTAGTTTTTAGAGTAAGTTCTTGGAACTCGTTTTTTTAAATCTGCAATTAATTTTCCCACGCAACTCTGATCGGAATGTACAACATCCAGCAACTTAGAGATATGCTTGCTATATGAAGACTTTGTCATCGATCGTTTAACAAGCACCTCTAGTTGTTTTGATTGCGCCTAACGCAGCAAAACGCTCCAATAATAGATCGCAAAAAAAAGTCAAAAAAAAATCGCAAAAAAAACTCATTCGGCAATTTGTTCAATGTTGTTTTGTCAAAGCTTTTTTTTGATGGAGGGCAGAAACCAAAAAACAGTCGCGATGTCGGAACCAACTTTGCTTCACACTGCTTGTCAAAAAACTTTCACTGTTTTAAAACAATTTATTTTCATTTTTAAAAATCCTCAATGGAGCTGTTTGGTTGCTGACATAATGAAAAAAAAAATTAAGGTTGCTTCTGAGCCTTTTGATTTTTTGTTTCTCTACTGAGAGAACACGTACATTATGTGTTCATACAACATATAAATGTGTTCATTCGAGCGCTTGGTCTTTTCAACCGATTGAGTGATTTTAACTGACGCCTGAAAAGACTCCGTTGATCATACTTTATTCACAGACTCCATATTTACTTTTTTCCCCCAAAATCCAAACATGTGTTACACTTGTTAAGAAAGAGAAACCCAGTCAAATAGAACAAAAAAACTCAACTTTTTTGTCATAGATAACAAAAAACTTTTTTTGTGAATCAAACTATGAAGTTAAAAAAATGGCAAATGATTTATTTTTTATTCTTATTCTAAAAGATGAAAGCGCATAAGGAGTTTGAAACCGGTTTTGAATTTCTAATCTAGTTTTTTTAAGTTGATTTCTGAACTTTCAAATCTTAAATTCTTTTTCGGTTCGGGTTGTAGATAAATTTAATTTGAAACAAAATACAAGTTTTTTGAAGACCAGCCGTCGAAGTTCAAATTACCTTCGAGTACCTTTACGCGACACGCCGTGTCAACGTTTGATCAAACTTTATAGTAACTGTTCTAAAAGTTCACTTTAAATCCAGAAATGTGTCCTTAATTAAAGCAATTTTGCATCCCAGTTGCAAAATAAATATGTCGATGGTCAATTCGATTGATGCTGTCATTTTAATTGATCTCAATTAGCTCTATTTCTGACACTACGGGAGGTTGATCTAAAGAACTACACAAGGTCCAAAATATCCACTTCATTTTCAAGATGACCCTCAAAACTACAAGATTCT